GCACCACATCTACACATCTTTTAAATACCTCCAGGGGTGGTGACTTAGCCACTTCCCTGGGCAGCCTATTTCAATGCTTGACAACCTTTTTATGAAGTTTTTACTAATATCCAATCTAAACACCCCCTGGCACAACTTGAGGTCATTGCCTTTTGTCCTATCACTTGTTACTTGAGAGAAGAGCCTTACACCCACCTCGCTACAAGCTCCTTTCAGGTAGTCATAGAGAGCAATAAGGTCTCCCATCAGCCTCCTTTTCTTCACGTTAAACACCCCGGTTCCATCAGCTGCTCCTCACAAGACCTGTGCTCCAGACCCTTCACCATCTTCGTTGCTCTTCTTTGAACACACTCCAGCACCTCAATGTCTTGTAGTGAGGGTCCCAAAACTGAACACAGGATTCGAGGTGTGGCCTCACCAGTGCCAAGTACAGGGGGATGATCTCTTCCTTAGTCCCACTGGCCACACTATTTCTGATACAAGCCAGGATGCCATTGGCCTTCTTGGCCACCTAGGCACACTGCTGGCTTATGTTAAAAAAAAATCGAAAGCTTGCATGCTTTCTGACTGCCTTTATATGCATCAATCAAAGAAAGGTATTGCAAGTTGAAAATACTGTAGCATAACATGCACCCTCCTCATGCAGCCACTAGGCCACTGATGAATGCGTAGCCCATTTTTTGCATTATCTTCATATTTGTTCACTTCAACTTTTACTCATATAAGATATTCATGAATGAGTAGGTGTTCAGTGGTGAGACCTCACACTGAGATGCATTTTAGCAAAGCATTTCTGTGAGCACTGATGTTCATCAACATTCCAGCAAACTTTGGGAAAATAACAAAACAAGACTTAAAGTTGTGCTTAAATTAAACCTATATAAGTTAAAAACACATTTGGGCACCTCAAATATTAGGTCTGATCTATCCTGTTACTACGAGTTAAAAAAAAAAAAAAAAACAACAGAGTGAGAGAAAGTATTATTTCTTTAAACTTCAATGTACATATTCTGGAGACCACAAAGAGTCTACCTTCAACTCTTTTTATTTGATTATGTCATGGCATCAGTACCAGCTTTACTCAGAACTGACAAGAGCTGTACATTATTCTTCAATAATAATTAGAAACCAGAATTAGTCATTTACCTTAGTTTAAATCTGATATCTATAGGTAAGTGCTGCAAACAGGACCTTAAATGTGTTTCAACTGCAGGTTGAAAGTTGTTGCCTTAGAAAAAATGTGAGAGAAAACAGTATAACAAGATGATCAATACTTCCAAATGGACCCATTTTAGAATTCATTTCAAGTTTCATGAATGAATCTAACTCAAAATTCTCAGAAAAAATATTCAGTGTTATGAGGAAAGATACCTTCCATGTTGAGAAAGTAAGGTTGCCCAGAACTAAGAATCCCATTCTTTAGAATAGAAATAAAACTAAGGATCCAGCCATCACCTGTGCAAGGAATGGTTCTCTGACCCTGGCATTTGTAACAGATACATTTATTCCTAACTGTACTTGGCCTTTCAGAAGTAGGTAAGTGTATGAAACCCTCACGGCTTGAATTTCCACATCTCAAGGACGTCAAGAACAACATCTATGTGAATTAGTAAAATGCACTGAGACATTACTCACTCAACAGTTAAATGAATCAGTTTTCTAATTGAAAAAAAAAAAACAAAAAAACAAAAAAAACCAAAAAAACCCACTTAGCAGTTTTTAACTTACTACCACATTCAGAGTTACAGACAATAGAATTGAACACATAAATGTCCTTACCCATCTCCAGCTGACACTGGAAGATCACTAAGGTTGTGAAGTTTAGTAATCAGAAAATTAAATGAAAAACTGTCACAATGAAGTTTGGCCCCAAAGTTTGCATTCACACTCTTTATGCATATGCATTACCTTGTGATCCTGTCTTACATAACAGCACGCAAGCTTTTCCACAGGGTCTTTGACTCAGTCAGTAATCATTCAGTATTCCCTTTTATCCTCACTGGAAAGGCCCCAGGCCTCGCTTAACGCATACAACTGAAAATCTTTAGTGAATTAAAAGTTGATAATTCCCTCACTAATATTTCTATAGCAATTACTTCATGCTCTCAAAGACTGTGATTTTTTAAAAATGTGTTTAGATAACTGTCCGAACTTCCAGGAGCCTCCACAAGATTTTAGAAATTGGCTTTGTCATTAGGCACTTCATTAATCTGGAAGCCACTGCAAGATAACCATCTCCAGGAAGGAGTTACCCAGAGCATCCAACCATCCCTTGTTGCAGCAGAGGAAGATTCACTCTCCTATGGCACAGCCCAGATGTCCAGTCTGGCAGAGATCAAGACTTCCCCTTATATTCCCTGTCTCTGTGTCATACCCAGCCAGTCCTGCTATGTCATTGTTTGGGTCTGGCTAAGGAGACAGGGAAGAAGTTGAGGAAGAAGTTGAAGGGACTCAGGTAGAGGTGAAGAGGCTTTGCAAGAGGAGCACTTAATTTGGGAGCAGTAGCCAACAGGTTCAATGGTGGCTCCGGTTGCTGCTGTTCTCCCAAGATCAAGGGCTATCAGACCCTGTGGGATGTGCATCCATCAGCAGAAGTACATTAAGAGAGATCAGCCTAAGAAAATCCTGGCTGGGAAAGCCATTAACAAGGTGAAAATTGCACATGAGTGATAGGGAGGTATATGATATACCTCAATATGGTAGCCCAGATTCATGAAAATTCATTGATAAATGCTAGTAGATTATCATTTTTGATAAGCTACAGAACACAATCTGCATTAGTATTACTTTCAAATGCTTCCAGAACACATTACAGAGATCTGCTGATATTTCAGCCATTTTCACCCTGAATTTCTCCTATGATCCTTTTGACTTCATTCTTTTCTGTTTTAGCAACGGTCTCCACCTACCGGCTATGTTTGTCTGATGCATTCAAAAGTGACCATTTTTTCTACCTGTTTCTTCTTGTATTCCTGGTCTGAAAATATATGAAAACAATCAAATCAGTTTATTTAAACCTCAGTAGTCCATGGCTTTCCATGTCAACCCTCTAAACTGTAGAGTGGTTGTTGTACAGCTTATTTGGGGACAGAAACTTGAATGGTGTGTTTCTGAACACTGCACTGGGCTACACAGTGCTGTGCAGTTCTGGGAGGTATGTGGCTGAGTGGCGAAGCCTAGTGAGCTGATGTGTTTGTGTGTCCTGCAAGACCAGGCAAGGGCTGCTTGCCAGGGTTTGTGCCTGGAGTTTAGAGCAACTCATTGGCTTGTCTGGCAATTCAGATTTGCATTTTTGCTCCTCAGAGATATTGGGTTAGAAGAATGTTGTTACAGTGAAACTGCAGCTGATCCTTGCTGATCCTCAACAAAAGGTAAAAGCAATCCTATGCAAGTCTGCTAATTATTCTGCATTGTGGTATAGTTGGTCATCTGTCCATTTTGCTTATCTTACTATTGCAGCCAATACACACAATGTCAGTAACTGAAAGAAAAAGAGAGACCAGTCTTGCAGTGCATAGTAATTGATTATATCACGTGAATTATGCATTAAAATGTCTCAGTTATGCTTTTCCTTTTATAGATTCACTGAAATAAAGCTTGTGCTATGTCAATCTACTATTGCCTCTCTTCTTCTTGAGAAGAATCCTGAAACATACTTTTTCATTACCTGTTTTTTAAAAAGCTGAAATATGATAAGATGCCTCAACAGGAGATTTGTGTGATCAGTTCTACACATACATGTAATAAAATGACACTACTTACTCTACACAGAATGTGGGCAAGAAAGACAAATCAGTGAGGACCAGAGGTAAAAAAGAAAGGAAAAATTTAACTCTCGTTCTTTGGCATGAACTAACTATATATAAAGTGCTTCTTTCCTACTCTAGTGTTATGAGCTGGAAGTTTTCTGTAAACAACCAGTTGAAAATGAGTCTTAAGGAAAATAAGGTATTTTAACTTTTGATAGGAAAATGAGAAAGCAATATACATAGATGTCCAGGAGAATCCATATATACATAACTGAAAGTCATTGAGCAACTTGCCTGTTTATCCCAGAATATGAATATGATGGATATGGCCTATAAACAATACATGCAATAACAACGGATCTGCCTGAAGGACAAAAATAAGTTAGACCCCAAAATAAAGGATATTTTTTTCCATAGTTTTAACACACTATTGAACAATGAGTTCCCAAGGGTTTGAAAAGCCAGAAGCTAGTAATAATCTCAGAAATATCTTACATTTAGTACAGATAAGATAAATGTAATTTGTAACTCTTATGATACAAATAGGAAATGTCAGTAATTACTTATTGTTATAAACACAGTCTTAAGTTTATGTGGGATCACAGAAGTCAAAGAAATATTAATTTAAAATTCTGTGGGCACTCAGGACATTTAGTTATATCCCAACAGCCTCATAATGTACACAAGGTTTTGGTTTGTCAGATCTGGGTGGAACTTCTCATTTGCTATGAAGTTGATCTGACTGTAAAGCAGTTACTGAGTACCAAAAAAGTGAAGTGTCCTTGATCTTGTCCAGCGAGGAGCACATACCAACACAATGGCTGTGCTAGTTTCTTTGCGGCTATAGGATTGAGTTATCAGTTCCAATGGCAGGACTGTAAGAGTGCTTGTTTCTGAAGGCTAATTATTTCTTTCTGCTTCAGGGAAAATGGAGACATGGACAGGAGCTATAAGGACATTAGCACAGGCACTGCATGATACTTTCATCACTACAACTCTTCAGTTTCAACCCATGCTGGGACCTCATAGATGTACATCAGTGTTTCTCCAGGATCTTCCCAGAGGACCTGGCCTTACTGCAACTGGTAAGGATCTTCCTCCCATTCTCAGCCACATTTCAGGAAGATACTAGGAAGATACTTGGTTCTCTTCTTATTTCTTCCATATACAGTCTTGGAAGGAACAGCCTGAGTGGGATCTTCTGTGGAGGAACAGTGATTTTCAGATAACAGGAACAGGACCAGATGCCTTGTTTCCTATGTGGAAAAGATGATACAAGATTCTGGAATAACGTAAGTCTTTACCTGGAAATCTTGGTATCAAAAGTAAGACCGAATGTATTAATGTTGAAGACAAAAAGAACTGATCAAGCCTTGCTTTTGGCTGTGCAAAACAAAACTCAGAGCAGTCATATTCTATGTGGTGTTATGTTTTCTAAATATCAGGATCCTTTTGCATAAATAGCTTTTACACTGACTACTTGTGACCATTGATATCAGCTGCCTTTAAAAATCACCAGAGAATCAATGTATAAATGTGTGCAAACAGTAACTTTTCAAGCTACCTCAAATGCTTGAAGTTATTGCAGTTAATAAGCAACTGATAATTTGAATAATTTTAAAGTAACCTTTTAAAATTTAGAAGTTTTTATTGTAAATCCTTGAAGGGTTTGGTTCTCTCACCTTTTAAATAAATAGAATTGTTCCCTTTGATGTAAATAAGTGCTGAGTCACTCTAAGAAAGACTGTATCTACAAGAACAAAGAGATTATTTATATATACTTTTAAAGTTATGAGTAATTTTGTTTTAAAATCTTACATAAATATGGCAACTGGCAGTCCATATTCGCAGAGCCACACAATCATTAATTTGCTGAGACTGGCCGGCAACCCTGGAGATCATCCAGTGCAACTCACTGCTCAAAGATGTGCTATCCAGAGCAATCCACTCAGGACCACTCCCTGCCCTCAGTTATTTATACACATGGATAAAATACCCTTCTTTTCTCCACTCTGAACAGCCTCAGCTCTCTTACCTCTCCTTGTGTAAGACATGCTTCAGTACCCTGTCATCTTTGTGGTTCTTCTCTAGACTTGCTCTGCTATGTCCATGTCTCTCTTGTACTGGGGAAACCAGAACTGGAGTCATCACTTTGGATGTGCCTCATCAGGGATGAGCAGAAGGGAAAGATCACCTCCTTTCACCTGCTGGCAATGGTTCTCCTAATGAAGCCCAGAATACCATTGACCATCTTTGAGGCAAGAACACATTGCTGGCTTATGCTAAAAAGGACCCCCAGGTCCTTTTCCGTCAAGTTATTTTCCAGTCAGTTGGATCCCAGTGTGTACTGACACCTAGGGTAATTCCTCCCCAGGTGCAGGACTTGGCATTTTCCATTACTGAACTTCAAAAGGCTCCTGTTGACCCATTTCTCCAACCTGTCCAGGCGCCTCTGGAAGGCAGCACACCCATCCAGCCTATTAGCCACTCCTCCCAGTTTTGTGTCATCTGCAAACTCGTTGAGGGTGCAGTCTGTCCTGACATCCTGGTCACTAGCAAAGAGGTTAAACGATATTGGTCCTAATCTTGACCACTGGGATACACCATTGATGATGGTCCTCCAGCTGGAGACTGTGTGCCACTGGTCACAACTCTCTGAGTCCAGCTGTTGAATTTCCTTCTTCTCTTCATGCTTTTCCTTCCTGGAGACAAGAATGATACCTGCTTTCTCCCAGTCCTTAGGAACCTTCTTGTTCACCATGAGCTTTCAAAGGTGATCAGGAGTTGCCTCAAAATACACGTGTGGGTGCACCCTGTCACAGCCCATGAATTTGTGTCTGTCCAGTTTGTTTAAATGTTCCCTAACTTGATTCTCCTCCAGTGAAGGAAAGTCCTAATTTTTGCCCTCTTCCTCTCACGATCTTGAACCCCACCACCTCTTGGATGTCTTGTTCCATGCTCTATTTCCCTTCCCACAGATATCACTGTGGTTCAGGTGACCCATGAAGACAAAGATCTGCCAAAATGAGGCTTCTTCCAGTTGTCTGAAGGAGGCATCATCTACTTTTTGATGCTTAGGTGGTCTGTAGTAGTAGTGTGGTCTCACCACAAGGTTGCCCATGTTATTCTTCTCTCTAACCCCAGTCCATGACATCTCAGTGGCTTATTATGCCTCCTTAGGTGGAAATTCATGCATCCCCACTGGTCTCTCACTAAGTTTGGATGAACTGCTACATCACCTGTTTTGAACAGGAACCATTGTTCAGAATCTGGGACTTGAATCTACAACTTCTGGCTCTGCAAAAATAGTGGCACTAAGTAGTACAAACTAGTGGCCAAAATATATAACTTCTGGCTGTTGAGCACTGGCTTGTTTATTTGTTTACTTGCATTCATAGGCTTTTCTAGTGTTGTTAGTACATTTAACAGGTGTAGCTCCTCAGTTTTATGGTCCAAGACTGGCAAATAGCACTACATTCAAAACAAATTTTCAGTATTAGGTAATTAAGGAGAAGCACCCTTTTTTATTCTTTACTAAATGTTTACTTTTGCACTTAGTTCAAGTCTACTTCTCCACAAAAAGTAGAAGAAGAAACTTCAGAGTGTGGTGGAGGCACACAGCAGACTAGACACATCCTATTTAATAAAACCATTCAGAACAGATATTACTGCATATCTACTCCTATTTATGGGAGTTGTGTATTATCTCAGAGTTTCATCCAATTTGGAAAATATCTGATATGTAATAACTAAGTTACATATGGTGATAGGGAGAAAAGATGAGAGAAAATGTAGTTCTCAGAAACATTTGTGCCACCCCCAGTGACTAATTTTTAATCCACTGGTAGATTTTAAGTCAGGGCTTAAGTAAGTGTGAGAAATTTTATAAAAGGCAAAACATGCTACTTTGATTATCTAAAATGTAGTAAATATGTTAATTTGTATTTTGAAAGCCTTGTGCAGTACACTTGGTAATAGCTAACATTTAAATACCAGCCATCTTTGCATATCGGCTTTTGAAACCCCAAGAGCTTTTGCCATTTGTTCCGATTAGGTCTGTCTTCAGTAGATAAGTCTCTTAGGTAATTTGAAGCACAGGCACACAATGAAGTCCGTTTGATGGTCTGAGACTAGAAAATGTCTCTTACCCAATTAATTAATGCTGTTCTTTTAAAATTCCTGTTCATGTTTCGTTTTATATGCCATTCCCTCAGATGTCTGAACACCAGCACACTTATTTTAGGATTTTTTTCTGTAGTTCTAAAGAGTTGCTTCTTATGTAAGCAGCTACACTTTTTACTATGAGCTACATAATGGTCCGTATTCCTTTTCACATCTGTGTGCACGGTGACACACTCCCACCAGATCATTTCATAAGATATCTGCTGTAGGGTTTAAAGCTAAACTGACCTTTTTTACTCCAATATATTACATCCACCAGACTGAGGATTATTTAAAACCAGAAGCAAGCAGAGGATAGAGACAAAGGAGGAAGAGCTAAGCTCTCACTCTCTGTAGTGTTGTCTGCTCCCTTTCCCTTTAATATTACAATTGAAGTTACATGCTCTGAAGATTTCCTTTAACTTTCTTACCTTTTTTTCCCCATTGAATCGGTGGCTGCTAGTGCTGAGTGCAAAACTGATTTCCAGCTATACAGTCACTGCATTATTTAAGCTTTCATCTCTATTATGTAGTTACTTTATTAATACCATTTTTAAGATCATGACCTTAATTCAATGTTTAAAGGAACAAAGGCAAATGTCTCAGTCAGTGACACATTTCTCATTTTAAGGAGAGATAAACCTCCTGCTCAGCCTAGAATTATGGAAGTTGGAAATGTAGGAAACATTTCTCAGCATGCATATTCTGCAAAACGTGCTCCAAGGCAGCAAACACCACTTCTGAGCCTACAGCCTTTGTCAGCCATTTTACACATAAGTAATGTTCTTGTGAGCATGTCAGACATCTTGCAGAGAAATAATATCACTTGTGCATGGCAACCAGCAGGAGACATTGCTAAACAGTACCCATTTTTTATTAGAACTGCTTTAACGAGCAGGAAAAAGTTACTGTTTTATTTTCGAGACCTGTGAAGGCACTAGGAAATTATACTGCTCTTGCAGGCAGATAAGGATATTAAAGATTTTACTTTTATTACAGACATATTGTAGCACTGTGAGGTAGTCAAAGAGATATAAAATGAAAGTACTGCACCAGCTAAAGAAATGCTGATACTTGTCCTTAAGTCAGTAAGAGTTTTATGTTGAAATGTCTGTGAAAGTAATTCACAAATAGCTCAGACTGGACTTAAGCCTTGATTTTCCTACTCCCAGCTCCTCCTTTCTCTTTTTTCATCTGTCCGACTTTCATCTTACTGGTGATCTAAATGTACACAGTGAGATGAGATGCTGGAATTGGTAAGATAGAAGTGATTCCTATTAAACTACACATTCTCAAATCAAAATAAATAGGAAGCAAAGGATTATGTTGCGGCTTGTTAATGTAAAAATTTTGGCAACTTTCACTACATAATGTGGTTCTTTATAACCACCAAAGTTGTTTTTTCTTTGCAGCTCCTGTCAAGCACAACTGCAAAACTAAATCCAGTCTCAGAAATTAAAATGGTGCATGGAGTGCACTTTTAAAAACCCAATGTTCTGTGGACCAGAGAGTACTGAGGTTGTTCCTTGCATAACTAAAAGAACAGGGAGACATTAAGAATAAAAATAGAAGTGAAATAGCCAGTGTTGTCAGATACAATTTGCCAGACTTTTGATCAGAAAAATATTTTCTATGACACTTTTTTAATCAGTAACTGAGATTGGCAGTGCTATTGTTCACTGTAAGAACTGTAGGAATTATTAACTATTTCAGTGCTTTACCTCAGCATTTTTTCCTGGGTTATTCATTCCATTTATAAGATGAAGCATTTTTTTTTTTTTGTTTTCGTAAGGTGACTCTTTGCTTTGCTTTTGTAAATGGAGTATGTTTGCCCAACCTGTTTTATTTCATGTTTGTATAGTGGATGCCCCTGTGTAGCTTTGTCCTGACAGCTGTGACACTTGTTTGACTCTTCTGCACAAGTCAAGCATTGCTCCCCACTGCATTGCCCAGGGACCCTCCTTGCATCACTCCTTCTTAATGTAGTTTTCCTCATGTGCTGTACCAAAAGATTGTTAGATTGGTAAAGCTTCTTTGATTTTGCCCAAGTTTTAATATATGGTATAATCTGGAAAACATGAGACTTGACCTCTTGATAATGTTGCATGTTCGGAAAAAGAATAGCAACCGATCACACTGGAAATCTCAATAGGGTATGTTGCACACAGTATTGTCTATATTCAGATTTGTTGTTGGAATTCACAACTCCGTATCACTATAGAACTTTAGGAATAAGTCCCTGATGTTCTTGCACTGACATGCTGGTATTTGTCCTTCGCTCACCCTGTCTCCTTGGAAAGCATGTGGAAAGTGCCATCATTTCACTGCCCACGTGTCTTTGTTATCCTGAGGAAGTATGTGGCACCAATTTGTCCATCCATAATACATGCTTGTGAAGCCTCCCATCATGCTGCCACCCCACATCTTAAAGGCTTTCCCTGTGACAAGAGCACAACCCCTCTACTCACTGTTCAGAGGCAGGAGGAAGACACCCATCCGGTGACAGATCTAAACTAACAGGTGTCTCTGGAGAGGTGCCCTGAAGGAAAGTACAAGAGCTATAGAAAGCATCCATGTTGTTGGAGAAAAGAAGCTGTCTGGACATCTCAGCCCCCTTGATCTTAGGAGAGAAAGACCCTTTGTCCCAGGAGAAGATGAAGGAGAAGGCAGAAAACTATTGCAAAAAACTGGCCAGAAAAGTGAGGGAGATTGCTTTTGGAGATTCATGTTCATCAAAAGGAGACATGCCGCAGAAGACACTGTAATGACAAAAGCAAAAGAGCAAATCAGTGGGGAGTGAGCTAAAGATTAAATGAGAATGTGAAAAAAGATTACTGGAAACATCTATGGCACAGGGGTTAATTGGAAGGAGGAAAAAAATCAGGCTGCTTTGTAAACATGTTGTCTGCAGCATAGGTATATAAGAATGAATACAGAAAAAAGAGTGTTCCTAAAAGGGTAGCAGACAAACAAGTGAAAATAACTGAGTTTTCTCTTCTCTGCCCTGCCTGAAGAATTATTTTTTTATTGCTCCTCAAGTTATAGTTTCCTTAGATAAATGAAATAAAAGAAATTTTTCTCTGATCCACTAAGAAATTGATTTGACTCAAAGTCAAATATTTAGTTGGAAGAGTGTTTACTTTCTAAAACCTAGAAAATGTATTTTAGAACATCCCCCCCCAAATATATATATTTTTTTAATTAAAATTTAGAACATTTCAGTTTGGAAATATAAAAAATATGATTCCTTTTTTCATTCTCCCTCCTCCTTCTCTCCCTCCTTGCCTCCCTCCCTCCATCTCTCCCCCTTCCTTTTCCAGTTGTTTTATTTTAGTATTTCTTCTTCCATTCTTGTTCATTCTCTTTCTCTCACTTTCCTCTCCTTTTCTCTTTTTCCTACAATTATTTTCTGTATTTTCAAGAATATGCCTGGTCAGCCTCAAAACTAATTTATTTGAAGTATAAATGATGTGTCAGAAAATATGTGCCAGGCTCTAATAGCAGCATTTATTTGAAAGACTACCAACATACATGAAGGTATAGGACAAGTATTTCAGCTGCAGGTTCAAAGAACATAGTACCCTCAAAGAATTCTTAAAAAAGACTAGATCCAAATTAAATGGAGGAGAAAAAAATGTGTTAATTGACCTAGAAAATACATAGAGAGGAATAAAACTGTGCATGTAAGATTCAAACTGCGGACTGTGATCAATTACTTTATTGCTATGCTGAATGCTGGAAAACTTCAGTTATCTATGAAGTCTACTAAGGATGCACACTTAAAATAGGTCCTATGCTAATCAGAAGAAAACTTCAGCTGTGATTCTGTTCTGGTGTTGGCCTGCTACATATTGGCAATAGGGTACAATGCAGTGGAATTTAGAGAAAAAAAAATGAGTTCAGTCAGTAGTCTCAACAGTTACAATACTGACCATATTCAGTTATTCAAATCAATAATTTCTGACTGCTCCAGATAAGATAACTTTATGCTTCCACATAACACCTGTGTCATCCATCCTAAAACTGCATGACACAGCTTCACCAGGGAGCAGTTTTAAAAAGCCATTTAAGCCTTAAACAGCAAAACATGGACTTTCTTCAGTCTCTTGAGCTTGTGTGCATCTGTGCTGACAACCTTTATACCAATGCTGAAATGAATTAGCAAATGCAGGACGTAGGCAATCTGCTGTAGCACAAGATCAAACTGTCAGTGAAGAAATTACCTGGAAAAAAGTGTTTCTCACATTAGTCAGAAAAATATCAGGAGTCAATGACAGTTGTTATTTATTGGTAAGGCTGGGGCAGTTACTGTGTTTTATTTGTTTTTTTTTTTTTTTTTTTTAGTGATCAATGACATCAGTGTATGATGCCTCATATTGTGTCTTCTAAGTGCTCCAGCCTTGACACATGGTAGGGGACTAGTCTTATGAAATAACTGTTCTTATGTGTATCCTTTATTTAACTGTTCCACCCTCTCTACTTATCTCCCTTTCATCCTACAGTTTTTAACTGCATTGAAAGGCCTAAACTTCAAGAATGTACTATTTTTAAATTCTCAATTTATGAAGGTTACCTGTTGTTAGCACCTGTTACTTGCAGAAGAACAGTTTCCTTTATGGTCAACCCCAGGGACTTTCCACTGGTGAGGCGGAAAAAAATTTGATAAAGCTAAGTTTTGGAGGAGGGATGTTACGTAGAATTAAACCACTCCTAGCTTACAATTTATGAGAGAAATTTTTCCCTCTGTATAGCTGTAAAGAGGTTGATGATAGAGTGGGTGATTTGTCACATGAAATGTTAAAAGGGGGGCAAAATGGATGGGGCATAGGGAAGGAGGCAGTGTGCTTGAAAGAAAAGTAAAATTGTCTTTATACTCTCTAGGAAGTGTCAGAACAAAACTGACACAATTCACTCAATATCTTAAACCTAAAGATTTTCACACCACTCAGGGTTTTCTGGAGCTGATTTATGCAACCTGATATGTTGAGAAACACCTCAGACAGGCAACTGAATGTTGATCTTCTGCAAAAACTCCCATGCTATACTCTCTTCTTTCCATGACAGACATTATGACTTTCACTATATTCGCACTTTTGGTTGGGTTTGATTTCTACAGGCATTCATGTGAGTACTTTTGTGTGGTTATGTGAATCCATTCATATATACAGTAGTTTTGGAAATTGCCTAAGGAAGCTTGCTTTGGAAACATTATAAGAGTTACACTCATGTAAAAGAAGAAGTAACTTGGGCCTACTATTCAATGCAGCAGAGATTTTAAATGTTTTTGTTTTTTTTTTTTTTTTTTCTCTTTTTAAGCAATTACAGAAAGATAATGAAACAATTTTGGATAACAATCTACAAAAGGACCATACCCTGGCAGCCTTCTGTGAGTAGATTAAAAGCAAAATAGAAAATAAATTACTGATTTTAGAATATTTTTTCAGTTACAGTTATTAGATTACAAGGATTCAGACAATGAGCTGATGAATGCTAACCCACTAACCCGCTAACTTGAATAAGTTCCCAAAGCAATAATAAAGACAGAAAATGTTTTTGGTGGTTGGTTAAGGTCTCATTGTGGGGAATCAAAATACATGTCTTAAATGCTGTTGTCTAAAATAACCTAATGGGAATGCTCTCCTTTGATTGGAAAAATGCATAAGAGAGATGAGACTAGCCAGAGTTCTAAAGAGAGCTTCCATGTTTTGTTATATCTTCTAGATGATAAATAGCTTCCTCACTGTGCTTTACTATTTGTCTAGTTCCTGTAAGAAACCATTTTATGTCTTTGATCATCTTTATCACCTTTCTTCGTAGGTCATCTTTATCACCTTTCACTTTTCTCCTATATCCTTTCTGTCTGTCTTATCAACTGTTCAAGATTCAAAAATGTCATGGATCTGTACAGTGGTATAAAGATAACTTCTGTTTCATTCCACACTTAATTTCCATTTCCATTTCCATTTCCATTTCCATTTCCATTTCCATTTCCATTTCCATTTCCATTTCCATTTCCATTTCCCCCTTCTTTCCTATCCCTTCTGGGACTCTGAAACGACCTTTGCTGAGAGTATTGACTGACTGTTTTTTGGCCTCAAGCTAGGCAGAATGTATAATCCATATTTCCTTGTCCTCTTTGTAGAGTGACTTCATCAGCAAATTCCGTATTTTTAGTATCATTATACCATCAATATATATATATATACACACATATCATCAATGTCATTATCATATTCTTACCCATGTATCAACTAATTACTCTTTAGAATATTCTATCACTTTTCTCCAGTGGATATTGATATACTGAGCTGCAGTTCCTGTCTTGTCCATCAGACAAGCACACACAGAGAAAAGTTGTATCACTAGACACCTCCCAGTCCTTTAGTAACAAGGCAGTTTTAAGAAGTTTCTCATGATCAGGTGTTCCACAGACCATTTCCTTTAAGAGTCTAGGATTTATCTGTAGATCCACAGTTCAGCTGAAACCAATAAATCAATAAGAACAATGTTCTAGGTGCTCAAGGATGAATTATGTGGTCCCCTTTAAATTAGGGGATTCACACCCCTCCCAGTTTTGCCTAGACATACAACTTTTAGTAAGAATAGTGTCTTAAAGATAATTCCAAATGTTTCTGAAAAGCATATTTTTTTTTTTTCCTTGCAGGCTTTACCAGCTTGTTGAAATTAATCACCTTTCTCCTAATGCACTGTGAAACAATTTCCACCAGGAAATGAGAGTTGACCAGTTCTTAGCTACTAGTAAATTTGAATTAACGTGGAACAATTTATGCTATGTGAAACACATGCTTTATACTTGTGGCAAATTCATTACTTACCTTCAAAATCTTGAAAAATCACCTCTGTACTGGGATAAACTGATTGTTAATACTGCTCCAGTTTGCTACAGTTAGATCATCTTTGAAATGAAGGTGCTTTTCCCCAAAGGAGGCAGAAATTAAATTTCACTTCTTTTCTGGATGTCCAGCATATGAAGTTTGGTTCATAAAAAAACCTTTCTCAAGCATCTCTTAAATTACTAATTAAATTGCCTCTCTTCTGAGTAAATGATTTCTGAGATCTTTAAAATGTCTCCGTTAAAGCTTAGTGTTAGGGTAGTCTTGATCCACTGAGTTACATGCTAGCACACTTTTATTAGAATAGATGCTCACAGCTAATGACCCAGTCCAAGAAGGAGTTGGTGTGGGAGCTGGATACTCCACTACCATGACCAGTCTGCTTCATGCAGTATAGTCTTTCCCAGCCAGACAAAAATATCTGCCAGGAAATCATTTATGCTGCAATGTTTCACTGAGAACTGTGCAATGGGTCTTAGAGCTCAAAACTGCAGCTCTTCATGAAGTATAACATATTTTATCATTCTTTAATAATAAAAAAATTTGAAGTTATTTTATTGTTTCTGACATCTTTCTGTTTTCTCTGACTTTCTGGCAGCCAGTTAATTTTAGAAGAGTGAATGAACAATATTAAGAGTGAGGTCTATACTAGAGTCACACCCTAAAATTTGCCAGAGAGATATCTGAGTGGCAAAACATGGTCTCAGATCTTTGTCCTTCTGGAAGATCTGTGCAGGCCATTGCTCCCAAGCAAGGGGTGAGCTGGAAGGGAACACTATGACTCAAGTGAGCAATGGTCCACCACTTCTCACCAGCAATTTACACAGGAGGAGTCCCATGGAGTCTTCTCAGAAATATCACTGTGCTCTTAATTTGGTAAAAACCTTTAGGAAAGGCAAGGTATAGCCAACCCCCCATAACCACCTTGGGTTATATCCTATTCCCAACAGAAATCTCCAGTTATTTCTGTTTGTGCCTGATTTTATGTTTGTGTCTCCAATTATAATGTTTTCTGAAATTACTGGCAACATATGTTTGGATAGCCTTGTCTTTAATTCTTTTTCAACTTTAAAGAGCAAGTCCGGACAGAGACAGATTAACTGAACATTTAAATCAGTTTCAACATTTTTTAATCATCAGCTGAAGTTTGACTCTGTTGCATTTGCTGTAACCATCCTTGATATGCAGCAAGTCATCTCTGAGCAGGTGTATGCATTTTTCAGTTCTTTATACGAATCTATAAAAAAAATGCCTATGAATCTTTATGCTACTTGGTACAGGCAAATGATTCTTATTACTCCCTTTACTCCCTACATAGATACGGAAAAAAGAAAAATGTTTCTTATGGGATAGCAGTCATAAAATGTTTGACAGATCCTGAAACCACTGATTCAAAAACTTTAATATACATGAGTAGCACTGAAATAAGGAAAGAAATTCATGTTTTAGGTTCAGACTGAGTACTGTTTAATCTCTTTCTGTATCTTTGAGGTAGGGACTGAGATTCTTTGTGTGTTCAAGTTATGTACACACTTAGAAGAATAAACAAATACTGAAAATTACTCTTTTTAGCATGTCTTTTTAAAATGATGTTGAGTTTCAAAATCTCCTCATGAGTTTGCTTATTTCAAAATCATATAATCTTTTTCTATAATCCTGTGTTTTCATTTTTTCTCTGTGGATCTGTTAAAGGCATTTGAGATTAATAAGAAGAGTTGAGAGTTCACTAGACAGAAGGAACATTGAAACAAGTTCTACAAAATTGTATAAAATGCATAAAGTAAGCAATAGGAAAAAAGACATTTTATTATGAGGCTTTCAGTTACCACACTCTTGAACTTTAAATGGAAACATAAACAGGTTGAAAGCTAATATGTAATGACATGGAACTTTAAATCAGCATTTTTCTGTTGAATGCTGGTCTCCAAAAAAATATCCTCTTATTAGACAGCAAAATGACTTCAGATTTACCTTGTCAATACGGTGGATTTACTGATGAATTTCAAATCTGCTTCTCAGAAATTTCTGGGTAGGAAGACTTGTTAATAATCTCTATCTGAAGAGCATTTTGTACTCTAATCACTGTCCAAAGTCAGTCTTTCAGGCAAAATAGTATATTCCTCAAAGTGTTTGAGTGTATGATTTGTATCCATGATAATACAATAATGTGCAATGACAATCACACTATTGTTCCTGAGAATCTTAGTTTATATATACATTGGATTATTAGTTACAATAGCTGTATTTAACTTAGTTTTATTGATCTACTGATGTTGCCAAGTATTATTATTAATACTTCCTGGAACAATGTAAACCCATTACATATGCACCTCAACTAGAAGTTTTAATGCTGCTTAATGGTCATCAGAATAGTCCTTAAAATCTTAGAATTTTTTTTCTTCAAATTTGCCTTTGGGATCAAATAGTTAATTCTTGACAAGAACAGTTATTTACCTTTTTCTCTCTACTGATATCTTACTCACAATAAAATAATTTGGGTCTAGCAAACTGAAGTGGAAATAGAACTTTTTAAGCTCAGAGGTAACAAAAGAAGTTGAGAGGGAAAATATGGCTGGTATTTCACCAAACTATCAAATACATTGTATCTGTAATCAAACGAAAAATATCAAGTAAGAAATCTGAACTGTTTATATAAAAAACAGTTAAAACATGGAACAAGTTGTATTAAAACGAAACTAAAGTGACTTAACTAAAATAAATTATATCAAGATTTTCAAGAATTGTATTTACTTTAATGCAAAATATGCCCTCAAATCCATAGACTGTCTTGGTATCTACAGCTGGATCTTACATTTTAAAAGGTCTAACACTGAATAGTAAATTATTTTAAGTGATCCTATTGTGAAGAAGTTCTCACCTTGTGATATTGTAATTCTAAAATTCTTATATCTCCTTGCAGATTTATTGCATAATCTGTTCAAGGGAACATTAAAAAAAAAAAAAAAAAAGAAGTATTTATGCAAAAGTAAGACATGCTGATGCACCACTGAGGATAGATGTTGCTGTGGTTATATGCATTGTATTCAAGTAGAAAATTTACTATATCATTCAAGTACTCATCCAATTCTTTCAAATAAGTCTTGAGAAGAAAAGGTACAAATAAATCTGATAAGATATTTAATAGTAAAAAAGAAAATCTAATCTGTGACAACACTTAGAAAGCAACATAATTCATGCAACTGGAGGATGTCCATCAAAGAAAAAGAGGTGTATTTTCCCTTGGGACATGAGACTATATAGCCAGTTTCATAAGAAACAATTTAGGTCTTGAATATTGCATACATATGGGACAGTAAAGAAAAGAGGATACGGGTGATCATAGACATGGAAGATAGCTAAAAGCAGTTTTAGATTCTGAAATGTAATGTGTCAGGACATGGGAAGAAAGCCTTTTCCCTTCAATTATTTTTAGCAGAAAGAGTTATCTAGCAGGAAGGAAGGAAGGAAGGAAGGAAGGAAGGAAGGAAGGAAGGAAGGAAGGAAGGAAGGAAGGAAGGAAGGAAGGAAGGAAGGAAGGAAGGAAGGAAGGAAGGAAGGAAGGAAGGAAGGAAGGAAGGAAGGAAGGAAGGAAGGAAGGAAGGAAGGAAGGAAGGAAGGAAGGAAGGAAGGAAGGAAGGAAGGAAGGAAGGAAGGAAGGAAGGAAGGAAGGAAGGAAGGAAGGAAGGAAGGAAGGAAGGAAGGAAGGAAGGAAGGAAGGAAGGAAGGAAGGAAGGAAGGAAGGAAGGAAGGAAGGAAGGAAGGAAGGAAGGAAGGAAGGAAGGAAGGAAGGAAGGAAGGAAGGAAGGAAGGAAGGAAGGAAGGAAGGAAGGAAGGAAGGAAGGAAGGAAGGAAGGAAGGAAGGAAGGAAGGAAGGAAGGAAGGAAGGAAGGAAGGAAGGAAGGAAGGAAGGAAGGAAGGAAGGAAGGAAGGAAGGAAGGAAGGAAGGAAGGAAGGAAGGAAGGAAGGAAGGAAGGAAGGAAGGAAGGAAGGAAGGAAGGAAGGAAGGAAGGAAGGAAGGAAGGAAGGAAGGAAGGAAGGAAGGAAGGAAGGAAGGAAGGAAGGAAGGAAGGAAGGAAGGAAGGAAGGAAGGAAGGAAGGAAGGAAGGAAGGAAGGAAGGAAGGAAGGAAGGAAGGAAGGAAGGAAGGAAGGAAGGAAGGAAGGAAGGAAGGAAGGAAGGAAGGAAGGAAGGAAGGAAGGAAGGAAGGAAGGAAGGAAGGAAGGAAGGAAGGAAGGAAGGAAGGAAGGAAGGAAGGAAGGAAGGAAGGAAGGAAGGAAGGAAGGAAGGAAGGAAGGAAGGAAGGAAGGAAGGAAGGAAGGAAGGAAGGAAGGAAGGAAGGAAGGAAGGAAGGAAGGAAGGAAGGAAGGAAGGAAGGAAGGAAGGAAGGAAGGAAGGAAGGAAGGAAGGAAGGAAGGAAGGAAGGAAGGAAGGAAGGAAGGAAGGAAGGAAGGAAGGAAGGAAGGAAGGAAGGAAGGAAGGAAGGAAGGAAGGAAGGAAGGAAGGAAGGAAGGAAGGAAGGAAGGAAGGAAGGAAGGAAGGAAGGAAGGAAGGAAGGAAGGAAGGAAGGAAGGAAGGAAGGAAGGAAGGAAGGAAGGAAGGAAGGAAGGAAGGAAGGAAGGAAGGAAGGAAGGAAGGAAGGAAGGAAGGAAGGAAGGAAGGAAGGAAGGAAGGAAGGAAGGAAGGAAGGAAGGAAGGAAGGAAGGAAGGAAGGAAGGAAGGAAGGAAGGAAGGAAGGAAGGAAGGAAGGAAGGAAGGAAGGAAGGAAGGAAGGAAGGAAGGAAGGAAGGAAGGAAGGAAGGAAGGAAGGAAGGAAGGAAGGAAGGAAGGAAGGAAGGAAGGAAGGAAGGAAGGAAGGAAGGAAGGAAGGAAGGAAGGAAGGAAGGAAGGAAGGAAGGAAGGAAGGAAGGAAGGAAGGAAGGAAGGAAGGAAGGAAGGAAGGAAGGAAGGAAGGAAGGAAGGAAGGAAGGAAGGAAGGAAGGAAGGAAGGAAGGAAGGAAGGAAGGAAGGAAGGAAGGAAGGAAGGAAGGAAGGAAGGAAGGAAGGAAGGAAGGAAGGAAGGAAGGAAGGAAGGAAGGAAGGAAGGAAGGAAGGAAGGAAGGAAGGAAGGAAGGAAGGAAGGAAGGAAGGAAGGAAGGAAGGAAGGAAGGAAGGAAGGAAGGAAGGAAGGAAGGAAGGAAGGAAGGAAGGAAGGAAGGAAGGAAGGAAGGAAGGAAGGAAGGAAGGAAGGAAGGAAGGAAGGAAGGAAGGAAGGAAGGAAGGAAGGAAGGAAGGAAGGAAGGAAGGAAGGAAGGAAGGAAGGAAGGAAGGAAGGAAGGAAGGAAGGAAGGAAGGAAGGAAGGAAGGAAGGAAGGAAGGAAGGAAGGAAGGAAGGAAGGAAGGAAGGAAGGAAGGAAGGAAGGAAGGAAGGAAGGAAGGAAGGAA